GATAAGGATGATAAGCATCCAAGTTGTTGTGATTTTAACAGATGATGAACTGAATGACAATCATCTCAAAATCATCTGATAATAGTTATACACAGGAAAAAAAAGATGTTGAATATTACATCCAAACTGCTGCAACCAGGTCAATCCATCGGTTGTGTAATATAACGTTGTACGATGGACATCGATTTTGCGAATAAAATTACATCCATTGATGTAATATTGTATCTGCTTTTTGCTATTACATCATTATTAACATTGATCGATATTACATTTTTTTTTGCTGTGTAGGGCTACAAGGGGGAAGCAATAATCATTCGATCAAAGGATGATGTTTTGATTCAGCGTAGAGAGAGGAAGAGTAACGAAAATCTCCATCCATACACCACGTCTGTCGAATCGCTTCCACTTTATAATGAGAGAGAGAAGGATTAGTATTTTCCATTTAATTCCACTACTTTATTTGCTTATCCTTGACAGATACGCGTATTTCGTCTACAATGTGCAGACTTCTTCAGTGTCTTGTACTAATACTCGACTACGAGAGACACTGAAGAAGTCTGCACATTGTAGACGAAATACGCGTATCTGTCAAGGATAAGCAAATAAAGTAGTGGAATTAAATGGAAAATACTAATCCTTCTCTCTCTCATTATACAGGTATCCCACTAAGACGCCCACATTCATCAGGACGCTTCCACTTGTTAAGCCACAGCTGGTCGAAGCTATGAGGCATCATTCAGGGTGACCAGTGAATCGGGAAATCAAAAAAAAGCCTGGAATTCGAAGTCACCGGGAAAAACCCATGAATTTCGATAACATACCTTTGGACTGGTCTAGATTTTCGGGATACATTCACTGAAGAACTATTACGAGAATTTAAGAAAAAAAAAAACAATTCCAAAGCAACTTCGAGTAGATATTAGAATAAACTCAGAGATTTTTAACTAAAACTCCAAGGAAATTATGTGATCACAGCGTAATATTTTTAAGTAGCTCTATGGAAAATGCATGGCTTTTGTGAAGAGGATTCCCAGATCCGAGAAAAATGCCAAAGGGATCGAATTTTGAGAGTACAATTCCAAAGAAATCATGCTAAGAGTTTCAAAGAAATTCCGAGGATAGTTTCAATGACAGCTCGTAAAGAATTTTAGATAAGTTTAAGGGGAGTACCAAGTGAATTATCAGAAGAATTTAGAGAAGCACTCCCAAAATATTATGAGTATATTATAAGACAATTCTAAGGGGAATTGCATTTGAATTAAAAGCTAAGAAGAATTAAAGCCAATTAAAAAAAATGGAACGATGCTTCAGACGGATTTATGCTCATTAAGTTTCAACGGATTTTAATAAGGTTGTGCGCGTATTACTATTCGACTTTGAGTGAAACACGCTAAAAAAAAATTAACATGAAAAAGTTGTTGTTCGAACAACTTTTTTTCCTTAAAAGCGCCCACTTTGCGATGTATGAAGAAAATTTAGGTAATTATATTGCCTTTCATGAGAAAAAATATCAAGCAAATCTGAGGGGTACCATTTTTGGGAAAATGACTTTTAATTTTTAAATATATTTTTTTAGAGTGTAGAAACCAATTTTTTAATTTATTTAAATTTTTTTATAAAATTTCAGATTATTTGCTAAAAGTTCGCCATACATCACTGTTTTGTAGGGCTTGTCATTTTTAAGCTATATCGATTTGAAAAAAAAATCAACAAAAAACTTTGACCCTTATCAAATGTTAGGCGAGATAAATTTTGAAAAAAATAAGTACTCAAAGTTGCTTAAAATTGCTAAGTCTCCACACCCACAAAGTTTCATAAGGTTCTGAGAGGGTGCTGCCAACTCCGAAGACGAGTTGGCGTGAAATCCGTCTTCAGTGAATTCTTCGAAAAAAAAAAAACATAAAATTCGATGTGAATCTTTAGATGAATTTCATGAAATTTTGAACTGATCTGCAAAGAATTTCTGGATTGTTTTGAATAAAATTTTAAGGGACTTCCAGAGAGAATCTCAAATATATTTTTGATGAATTTGGAAAAGAAATCTGTAAAGGGAATTTATTTTTTGAGCGAATTCTCAAAGACAAATTTTGAAGACTCGAACGCAGAAACAAATTCAGAATGCAGGAAAAATCCTGCTGTTTTAGTAATGACTCATTAAACTTAGTGATCTCTTCGGCTCAATCGCATTTGATTTTATGCTTAATTTACATGTATATCGAACAACCGGAAAAATTGGCCAAATTCCGGGAAAACCCGGGAAATTGCTAATCGAGATTTGCGTTGAGTTACTGCAGTTTTTGATGATTTTCACTTACTTCTCATATCACCGTGATTGCTCTTTTCGTTTAAAATTTGTAATAAACGTCATAATATAGCAATGTTATGTGCACCAATGGAAAGTAGACGTTACTTGAGTTCCCAATCAATAGTTGTGAATATTCCATGGCTCGTCATGACCAACTTAGTCATCTCGATTTCATTATAACTAAAGAGCCTGAATTTATAAATAAATTTAGGCTCTTTAATTATAACCACTCCGGTGGCAGAAACGTCATTCACGAACATTTTGCTTGAAGCCACAGTTGTTGGTTCTTTGGCTCGATTATCTGCCAATCTAAGACAGCTGATGCAAACATAAGTTATGCTCCGTCCACATAGATGTTTGATTTGTTGCGCGGCAAAATAATCGTGAGAAATGTATAACAAGCGCGTTCTTGTAGGCATTAAATATTTATAATATTATTTTTAAATTTGGCAAGCTAATCATGAAAAATTTAAGTTTCATTAATGACTATTCACATAAGATTTTTTTAACGCATACGTGTTTACGTGCATTACCGATACAAAATCATTCTAATTTATTGAAGATCAATAATAATATTATCATAAAGAATATGATGGCACTAACAAACCTTGAAATTATAGGTTTTAATAATCATTTATTGGCGTCAGGTATACGGTAGTCTTCCTACACCCTTCACCATCCCTCTTCAAAGGGAGAGCTTGGTAAAGAGAGCTTGAGCTTGAGCTTGAGCTTGATTGACCGCCCACGGTTGCTACTCTGTTACTGCCAGATCAGCTGTAATTACACAGAGAACCAATAGACGATGCTTGGGACTAGCAATCATCCTCAATGTGTAAAAACTGGTGATCTTAAATTAGACAATACCAGCGCCGGCCGCGCTCGAACACAGGTCAAAAAAGGAATGGGAAGGATTGTGTTGACATGACACTCGCTTTGATGGAAGCCGAGAACACCTCTGCACTTCCACGAGGAATCACTGGGATGTTGGATAAGAGGGTTGGGTTTGCAGCAGGGTTCGTTTTGGTAAACGATAAGCTGAATTGATGTCCTAACGATCATATAACGCGAAGGAGCTTGGGACTAAACCCACGGTCTTCTGCTCAGTAAGCAAAAACGTTTGCCACTAGGCAGACGAGCACCTTTTTAATCACCGAGTTGCTGTTATTACCATGTAGTCATATTAACAAATAAAACGATTGACGAATCTTGAATGTGGATGGGCCTGAGATTAGACTCATTATGTTCTGCTCAGTAAGCAAAAACGGTTGCTCTAAGGCCACCGAGCCCCTCATATCACATAATACCGTTGCTCAAATTTGTGTATCCATTCAAACCCGGAACCAACGACAACAACGAGTTTCGCAAAATACACGATGCACAAGTGATTTTACCATAAATCTCTTTGATATGTAAGGACCTGGGACCGCGTTTTTCTGCTCAGTAAGCAGGCCACTGTAACCGACGATCTTTCAAATCCGAAAACTAAAAACTACGAAAAAGTACTTAGGCCTTCATTAAGTTCCACTTTCACACGAAGGGGGTGACTCTATCTAAGATACAGGAATTTTTTTGCTTTGCTGTTGTGAAATGCACTCGCGCTTAATAGATAGAAACACGATTGATTATGATTTTCAAGATTTCTTGCAAAAAGGTGGAGAGCAATGCAAGTAGATGGGTTTAGATGCAAGAGACGAAAAAAGATTTTTCGGAGATTGATTCGCTAGTGTGAGATTTTTCGACCATTTAAAATCGAGATTTAGATGTGTCGCACCCCTCGCTTTCACGCGACGTTCAATGACAGGGTCCTATCCAGAATTACATCTGAAAAATCCAAATCTGGCCAACGCCCACCTAAACCTGTTCTAATCCACCTGAAATGACTAACGAATGGAAGACTTTGACTACCCAGCCATGCAATAGTCTCATTCCATGCCTTATGGCAACTTGATGATTCTAGTGCGCTCATCTTTTGGCACCACCCAGGGGAGACTTGGTCCTGTACCCAATGCTTAACTTATCTCCATTCCTCTCAGCTACTCGCAATTTCTTGTGATATAGTGGGCGGAATATTATTATATGAGACAATTCAATGCAGACGTCTATCCAAATTTGGCAGATCGACAGGTAATCAGTGAGTTACCACGATAGTTGCTATTCAACAACTCGACAACGTCCCATCGTCAACGCCTGCTATGATAATTTCCCATTGCAGACGCCAACGAAAAGATGTCATCGAGCTATCGATCAACTACCCTTTTTATCGCCTGGTACCTTATAGCACGATGCTAGGAGGCGAACCGGAAGAATCGATGAGCTACCTCTCCCCCCAAAGGGAGAGTTTGGTAAAGAGAGATGATAAAACCGATTTGTACCTTCCTAAAGTTGTCCTAGCAGGCTTTCTACTCTAAACGGAACTATCAATTCTATACTTTCATCTCCTCATCTATCGTATAAAAATTACCACTTTAGTCTGTTATTTGAAATTAGCATCTTCAACTATGTAAATCGTTGACTTCACGCAGAAGTAATACTAAACATATAGTCAAAGAACGATTTCTATTTCAGTGACTCTAGTATAGCTAGTTTTTAAATTGTTACAACAAATCTAACGAGAGGTCCCTGACATTTCTCTCAAACGTACCGAAAATATAAAATCCGAGAAATTCTAAATTCCACCCTCCCCCCTCTCCCGCAGATTGCCTCGCACCTGAAGAGATCGGAAAGACTGAAACCATGCCCTCGCTGTGAAAAACCCAGCCGTGTCGTGCTGACCAAATCGTCCATCAAACAGGCCCTGGCTACCGGATCGCTAGACTCGTCCACCGTCCTCCTAACGGTCGTCGGGGGAAAGCTAGAGAAATCCTACACGTTACCTGAGTCCCTAATCGATTGCACCGCCGCCGAATCCACCATCATAGACAGTCCGGCGTCTCCCATCAATTCGGATCGCATCCGTAAGAACCTGTTCTCGACCAGCTTGCTGCCTCGGTCCCAATCGGTGGACGTGCAAACTCCGGTGGCGCGAACTCCCCGCCGACGCATTTCCACGGATGCCCTCGGATCGTCCGCGTCGTTGCTTGAACGTAAGCTGACGACCAGAAACGGTAAGAGCAAGTCCGCCGAAGGAATTCAATGTGATTATGCAGTCTGCAGTGGCAAAAGCTGCGGCTTCACGTTCTGTATTAAGTGTTTGTGTGAGTACCATCCGAATTCGGTGTGCATAGATTTGGCACCCAATTCGCCTAGCAAAGAGGACGAACCGGCGCACAATGTTGCATGCAGTAAGCAAAGCCGCCGTTCGTTACTGAGACTACGAAAGTAGGGAGAGAGGACTGTTATAAGTCAAGCATACTAACCGAAAGGTATTTTTTCGATTGTTTTTAAGCAGTGACAGTTATTTATTGCTATTTTTAGTATAGGTAAAAGACTATGTTCCAAGTTTTTCCCAGTTGATTACTCTTATTCGCCTATTTTGTATGCATTTCTTTTTTTAAAGTGTTTTTTTAATCAGTGATGAGATTGTACGAATTTTGATTTTACCCAAGCACGATTTTTTTTAAACCACCAATATTATATAAGGAAAAGAAATCAGGCAAAATAGCTTTGTGAGCCTGCTCATTAGAAAATTAATATATTTTTGATTAGTCAAGGTAAAAAACAAACCAACTGCGGAGAATCATTCCATGCTTTTTTATTTCGCCTTGTATCTAAACTTGGTTCAACAACAATCTTAGCCCAGTGTATGTACTACTCCGAATAGACATCCTGCGAAACAAAAGACTTATGATGAGAACAAATTTACTTTTTCTTCCCAAAGAAGTATTTCTTAGCCCTTTTTTTTCTCTATACGTAGTTAGGTAACCGTACAGTGAACAAGCGGACTTATGTCTACTGAAGTCGAACAATGAAGCACTCGAATAAATCAATATTAGGTTTTTTACCCTCATGACACAAATATGGCTAGTTTTCTGCAAATATAGTAAACACGACATTTTGGATGCTACCTCGTAATTTAAAACAAACAAAATATTACCCCTATAAAAATAAGCTCAAAGAACAAGCAAAAACTTAGGTCAGCTTTGTATTATGACATCACCGTGTAGAAGAAACAAATTCTGAATCTATTTTTTACATTTTTCTTAAAATAAAAAAGTTGTTGAAAATAAATCATTTAGACTGGAATTAATTGTTGATGACATCCTTTCGAATCCTGATGGCTCTATCTTAGTCAATTTTCTTCCATTCAGTTGCACATGGGGATGACGCGGCGTATTCATTCTGCATACCTACCTTTTTATGTCTATCTGGATGCTTCATAGCTTGTAACCTTTTGGTTCTACTATTTCTAGGGAAGATAAGAATGAATAATAAGATGTCACTGGAATCTCTTCTTGGAAATCCTCAATTTTTTTGAAGGTCCTTAACACTTATTTCGAAAGACCACCGACTTTCTCCTGGCAGACCTCCAAGAGGACTTTTTAAGCCTCTTATAAGAAAACTATGGGGCTTCCATATAGGCTATATATATTTTCTTCCTACCTATGTTAACCTTATCTGAAAATTAGCTTCATTTGAAGATCTCCAAACCAAACCGAGAAGACCTTTTAACAACTTCTAGAAAGAGCTTTTGTAGTAGGTTGAAAAATTCTCCCAATAGCCCGTACAGACTATGGCTTATATCATGTAATATAAACTGTCTTGCAATGAGCACTCATACATAGGATTTCCAGTTCCGTCTTTAAACAAAAGAGATTTTTGAAAAAAAAAGTGTGCGTGAAAAATCCTATTCATTGAAAAACGGGAATGGATGCGAGAACGCCATTTCCTTCGGCAAATTTTATCCCAAACTTCTGCTTTCGATGAAATTTTCCACAGATTTTTCGGTGCCATGCTGATTTAGATTCTTCCATGGGACGACTTTCGCAGCTCGCTTGTGCCCGAACTTTCCGCAATCAAACCAACAAACGCCCAAATATTCCAGAATATTCCGCATCGCCTGCAGGACATGATTTAACCGCTTCCTTACGTATTCCATCGTTAGCTGTTGTGGCTGTATTGTCTCCAGGGCCATAATGGGCGCTTCGTAGGATATGGGAGTGCCAGCAGAAGCTGGAACACCACATCTTCTTCCTGCATGTTGACTACCGTTGCCTTTACTGCCTATAATCGCATATCAGTCCCATATGGAAAAAGTAGGCATTGAGAAAATGGGAGTCGAAGTTAAGAAGTGAAATTCCCATGCAAATATTTGAAAAATCAGAGTAAATTTATTGATATTTTTTTAAAGTTAAAATCAGTTGAAAACAAGCTTGCATGTTTTGATATATCAGTGAAAAATATGGCAATCCAAAAAGCAGAACTGTAACTTGATCTCTGGACAATTGAATTTCAGGATGTAACTGATGTGCGATTACTTTGCTTGATGGGACAAAGTGACTTGATGTTGTTTTCACATTTTTCATGAACAAGGTTCGTAGTTATATCACATAATATGAAAGTAGATAAAAATTTATAGTGGATAGCGATGTTATCTCAAAATTGACAAAAATCCATATGAGACTGATATGCAATCATAGTCAGCTTAGCTTTCGCAGAATCTTCTGGAAGCGAAGCAAGAAAGCATTCACGTCGCCACCTTCAGTCAGCCTTAGCTCTTGGAATTGCTTATTCAGTCCCAACACGGCCCGCTTGAAGGCATTTTTAGGGCGTCCCAGACGTCTTTGGCCGTCTTCTTGTCCTTGCCGTACAACGACTGATCCTCCGAGATCCGATGAATCTAGACAAATGAAATACGCGTATATGTCAAGGATAAGCAAATAAGGTAGTGTGATTAAATGGAAATTACTAATCCTCCTCTCTTTCTTTGTACAGGTATTCCACTAACCGCCCTTACTAAAGTGACGTATGATATATATAGCAACCTAGACCAAAATCACTGCACCGTTATGGTCCTAGTTGATTTTTCGTTAGCCTTCAATTGCGTGGACCATCAACGGCGGAGACATACATTGCTGGAGGAATTTAATTTCTCAGATGAAGCTGGGGAATTGATTACAGCTTTTCTTAGTCATCGTGGTCAAGCTGTACAAATTGGAAAGCAAACATCTGCTGAGCGCCCGGTACCCGATGGCACCTCGCAAGGATGCTGCCTCAGTGCATTATTATTCAGATTATATATCAACAGCCTCCCGTCACAGTTGAAGTGTGAATACCAACTGTACGCCGATGATCTTCAAATCTACATTTCTGGACATACGGATGATATCAGAATACTGATGGCAACTATCAATCAGGATCTGGCAGCAATCGAGCATTGGGCTAAGGCTTACGTTCTCTACCCTAATCCGAAAAAATCTCAAGCGATAGTTTTCTCTAAGGATGGCACGATTACTGCATCTAACCAAATTATCTTCTACGGAGAACCAATTGTTCTCTCAGATACTGTCGTCAACCTTGAACAAAACATTGAACTGGTATGCGCAGGTCAACGATGTAACATAAAAAGTGTTTGGAACGTTACGAACATTCAGACGATTCACTCCGGTGCTATCTACACAAACACGCAAGAAGCTGGTGCAGTCAGTTATGCCGTTCTTTATGTACTGCGATGTGGTCTACTATAATGGACTCTCGGTAGCCTTCAAAAAACAATTAATCCGATGCTTCAAGGCCTCGGTACGCTTCTTGTACAACATTCGACTACCACAAACGAATATGCTGCTTCATAAGACAGGGGTATCTTGAGGCACTTCCTGATGTTTTGCAACAACACCTGTAACGCGGACTGCACGAGCGATCTCGTTGCTTCATAGTTCCTAGGCAAAACACGTCGGTTCGAAGGAGTTTGCTAGTGTCAGGGACGCTCACCTGGAACGAATTGCGATTTGCAGTCAAACAACAACCAACTTTAGTCCTATTTAAGCGATGTCTGAACACGCCTGGTAGACAGTAATTGACTATTAGCATTGCATTGGCGTTTGAACATAGGCACTACATTAACTTCAATTTCAATTACATCTGTCACGATTTGCAGCTTTTTTTTATGAAGAGCTTTGAGTGTGTTGGTTTATTTCCTTTAAATTCCGTTATAATTGCTTATCTTTTGACAGATACGCGTATTTCGTCACTACTTGCAGATTTCATCAGTGCCAAGTACTCAACACCACTGATAAGCAATTATAACGGAATTTAAAGGAAATAAACCAACACACTCAAAGCTCTTCATAAAGGGATTCCGTTAAGAGGTTCTGAGGTTCGACAAATTTAAAAGATTTAGCTTTTTTTAGTTTTCCGTAAAGTGAGTTCCTGGTAAAAAAGTGTAAACCACAGGCTAACGTAACACTAAATAAAAACAAATACTAAGACGCCCACATTCATCAGGAGAACGTTCTTCATTTCCTGTGCAAGGCTCACCGTTCTTCGAGCAGCTTCTTCTTCTGAGCACGTATAGTACTTCCGCAAAATCCGCCAGGAGATCTCTCGAATACTCTTCCTCATCGATGGCCTTCGTCAAGCAGCCATGCATGTTACCAATTCTCGGAAATGCTTCCTTCAAATTGTCGGTTTCTTTCTTGAAATGCAAAGAACCCAATGGTGTTAACTTTTGATTGCTATTATTGCTAAATTTAAAGATCATTTTCCAAAAACAGTCATTCAAAAAGTTATTTTTTTAAAAGTGACGAGCAGGGGGCTAGCTCAAATTTTTAGAATCCTTAGAATTTCTTCGGCACTTTCCCAAAAAAATCTGGCAAATCCGTAGAGTTTAATGATCGATCCGTAGATTTACAGATAAACCCGTAGAACTGACTGCACTTTCCATATCAATTTGGGATGTACAGTTATCCCCCGAAGAACGCGTTACCCGAGCAACAACCGATAACATATGAATATCTTAATGTGATATTATATCTTAAGCGAACCCCACACGTATCAATATATTGACACGAAGGGGAATTATTGACATTAATATTGATGATGTGAATACAGAAATATTGTCAATATCGATGTATTGACGTCAATATTGAATGTATTGACAATACGATTATTGTCAATAAAAGCAATCGTGTAGGGTCCACTTTATGTTGGCATGCTTGTGGTATAAAACTACGGTTTGCTATTATTCAGCTATCGAAATATTTTGTACCGTGCCGATTCAAATTTCGGACACTTAAACTCGAATTTCGGACACTTTTAAAAGTTGATTATCTCGGTCGAATATGATCCACATGTCTTGTAAATTTTAAATTTTTTTGACTAGTGCCCTCCACGATCATCTAACATTATTACTTTGTTTCTAACTGGATGTAATATTTAATTAAAAATGAAAGTGTCCGAAATTTGAATCGTCCGAAATTTGAATCGGAACGGTAAAACAGTTTTTGGTTTGTTTAATATGGAAACTTGAAAATTATTTGAAGTCCGGCATTTTGAAATCCGCCTAAAAAACCGTCCACGTAGCTTTTGGGCAGTCCCAGGGATGTTCATTGGATGGTTAATATGGTGATTAAAAATATCGATTTTGCTCCACTGAGCTGATTGTAAAAAGGAATTCAAGAGCAGATATCCAAGGAAAATTCTGTGAGAGAATCAAAGGAGGAAATTTTTAAGGTAATTGAAGGGGATTTCAAAGAGCATTTCACAGAAATTTTAAGGTGAATTCAAAGGGAATACTCAAGGGATGAGACAGCTTTACTCTGAGTTGCTTTTTGGAGCGAGTAGCTTGCGAGTAACTCACTGTATTTCAAAATTTAGCCGACGTTCATCGATGTTTTTGTCTGATTACTCCTTGGCTCCGTTTATCCCTTTCACATATTAGACGTAAGTCTTGTTTGTAAACAAAATAGAATTGTTCGGCTATTGAAACGATGTGAATTCCAGATTTTGTTCAGAAAATGGCTTAAGCGATGCTGGAAAAGCTTCGAAAGGGGGCGCATTGGCGGGAATTTTCATCTGGCGATTGGCTGCTGTTGCTGCTGTTATTGTTTTGGAAGTACTTTTTGTTCGTATTCCTCCGTTTCAAAACGTTGAATGTGAATTAACTGTATGCAATTTGTTCTCGTAAAATAACCACAGGTATCGTT